TAATACTACGAATGTAAAGTTTGTTGTCTGTCATTGTAGCTGGGATAATTTTACTTATTAAAGCTCATAATCTTACCACTTGAATCATCACTAGCCCTGAAGCTGCTGGTAGACATCGTGGTTGGAATTATCAAAGGTTTTTGACACCTGAGAGACACCGTAGCAACTCCTTTGTGTTTGGAAGCTGGGGGTGGGGGGGACCAGGGAGGATGAGTCAACCATTCAACCACTAGATGTCGCTGAAAACAACAAATCCTACACACTGTGCCTTTAAACAGAAATGCACCAAAGATACACACCTACAGTTTGTGTTGAAGTGAGATCTCTTGTTTCTACGCAAGCTTTGTTATTCTAATGATATTTTCTGTTTAAACCTGCTGAGACTTTTGCAGTACAGTGAATGTATGGTGAACAGTAGATTTAGTCACTGGAAGTATTTACAGTACTTCCAGTTGACATGGGTCATTTCTTGGATGGCTAATTTTTACTTTTACTTGAGTAAAAATATGTTGAAGTGTTGMTACTCCATACTTGAGTACAACTTTTGGATACTCTGCCCACATCTACCAAAGTGTGTCTCAGATCAACTCGTTTTGAGGCTRTTTCTTTAAATCAAAATGAGGCACTTCAAACCCCTCTCCCATCCAGACCAGTCCATTCTAGTTTGATAGAGGGGTTTACCACTATATAGCTGCGCAGAAAGGTTTTTATTTACAAATGAATTAAAATATGTCAACAAGGGAAGACTTGTCCGTCCAGCCTTACACGTTGGAGCCAGAGTCTGACCCAGAGACGGAGGAGAATGAAGACAACAAAATTGTAGTTGGTAAGTCCAGACTTTATTTGACAGTTCTGTCACAAATACTGTGACATAATTGTTAAAAAGAAACATCATAGAAAATAGAGAAAACTGAACGAGTTGAAAAGTTTAACTCAAACCGAATGCAAAGATATCTTTTGCTCTCCTAGAGACTTCAAATGCACAACAAAATGCAGTTAATGGCTAAAAAATGTGGATTTTGCATGATGTGTCCACTTTAAGTTATGTTTCTGCTGATTCTGTTGACGGGAACACAGACTCATTCAGTGCATTCATTTCTGTACAGACCACTTGACATGGCTGAAGTCAGTCAGAAAGGAAAACATGACTAAACTATTTTCCTAAAATTAATGGCAACGTTTGCTCTGCTAAGTCTTTTTTTCCCCTGAAAAATAGTTTCACTGTGCAGTCACTACCTTATCAGCATGTATTGATAGTCATCAGCTAAAAGGTTTTTTAAATCCAAATTTAAAGAGTATCAATGCAGCTTTACTGCTCAAAATTCCAACTTCAGTTTGCAACAATACAAGCAGACAAAGTACAAACATTTTTATGCATAAATTATGTAAAAAGTGTAAAAAGAATAGATGAGACACAAAAATATCACTTCCAGTTCTGAAGAAAACATTTTGAGCTTTAAAAAGATGTTTATTTTTTTCATATTGATGATTAAGGTGTCCTCAAATTTAAAAATGTCAGAATTTGTGACTGGATGCTCACCCCTTTGTGCATTTGTTTAACTGCACAAAGAGCCAAATGACTGAAATTAAGTCAAGTTAATCCTCCTGCTGCTTTCGAGTCAAAATGACCCACAAGGCCTCGATTTTAAAAATGAGGACGGGACAACAGGAGGATTAAACTTACTGGCCATATTTGTTTACTTATACAGACTACAGCCTAATGTAGGTCAGTCATGTGGCTCAAGCTTCCATGTGGTTTTCCTCTGATTCAGCCGAGTACTTTGTTTACATTCAGTGTAGACCTGCATTTCCAAATTGTATTCGATGTATTTGGAAAATTACTAGAGTAAACTCTTTTACTGCACTATTTCACATAGTTCAGGTTGCCTTTTTTATGGTGGATTTCATAGTTTGAGTATGTTTACCATGAATAAATCTTTGCTTCTTAGTTTGTTTATTCTTATTACCAGGTCAGATTAAGATTTGGAAAACTCCAATTTTTTACTCAGTGYGATTTGTAGCAATGGCCAAAACATAATTGTGCTTCTTGAACTTTACTAAAAACTTCTCTTGCAGCTTTCTTAATTTTGTTACAGCAGTTATTAAGCACATCAAACACTTCATCAGCTCCAGATAGATTTGATGTGATCCACCTCTCCAGGAAATGTGCCAGGCTTTGAAATGCCAAAGGTTTTCACATCAAACAGCATCCAGCTAAAGCCAGACAAGAAGCCTTTGTGGAGGGGATTATAAACAGGAACAAACTGGACGTTGCTTTCTTAGAATTTTGTTTTAAGAATGAAACTCTCCCTGAAGTCGAATAATGATTAGCATGATTGCTGCAATGGTGGAGAAGCATTAGACTCTTTTTCTCGAGGTACACCGTCAGGGTTTGGTTCMCCATACTGGCAGTACGTTGAACCCCTTCAGGGTGGGAGTTGGACACCCCCCCCCCCAGGGCTGATCGTTGTCACCAATTCTGTTCAGAACTTTTATGGACACACAGTCCAGTTGGGTGGCCTCAGGATTTTGTCTCTTCTATTTGCAGATAGGGCTGTCACAAACGACTATTTTTATAATTGATTAATCACAGATCATACATTAATTGAATATAAAACATAGAGCTTTTCGCGTCAGAATGCAGCTGCTATTATATAACCATGGTTAGATTTTAGCTATATGCTAACTAAAAATAATTGCTGTGGAAGGCAAGTTCTGCTCTGCAGATATTGCACAGGTTTCTCTTTCATTTTCTTAAAATGATCCCACAYTTTTGAGCTCCGTTGCTGGGTAGCCATGATACCAGAGCCTGTCTGTATAATGTCTTGTGACGTCCACGGCCTACCCCAGTTACCACTACTGTGCATGTGTGTCAAGGACAGAAAGGCAGATGTGGCAGTGGAAGGTGTCAAAGCAGTTTGGAGAAAAACAAAGTAAAGAACAAAAAAAACAATTAATCGATTATTAAATTAGTCATCAATTATTTTAAGAATCGATTAGTTGTCAACTAATCGACTAATTGTGGCAGTCCTATTTGCAGATCATGTGGTCCTGTTGGCGTCTCAAGATGTGATCTCCAGCTCTCAATAGAGTGGTTTGCAGCTGAGTGTGATATTCCGGTTATAGTTGCACTTTTGAGTGTCATGCAGGGCTCTGCTGATGGCGGGTAGTCCCGAGCAAGCGGTGTAGACATTTATACCGGACACTTATGTTGGTGCAGAATTCTACAACAGGACATGTGGCAGTGCAACTCAAAACTTGTGAAATGTTGTAAAAAGGAGAATAAACACTTGGCGAGCAAACAAACTATTTGAAAGGAGAGCTGCATGTGGAGTTACAAAAATATGGAAGTGCACAACCAGGCGTCACGACACAGCGGCCTGCGCACCCTTRCGCCGTGCTCAACGTCTCACCTATAAACCTAGCTTGAAGCAGCTGGGATGAGGATCAGCATCTCCCTTAGAGATAGGGTGAGAAGTTCAGTTATCCGGGACAGACTCAAGAGTAGAGATGCTGCTCCTCTGCATCGAGAGGAGCCAGTTGAGTTGGTTCTGGCATCTGGTAGGGATGCCATCTGGACGCCTTCCTTAGCAGGTTTTCCAGGCATGTCCAATTCAGAGGAGACCGCAGGGAAGTCCCAGAGCACATTGGAATCCTTCCAGAAGAGCTGGATGGAAATATATATATATATATATATATATATAGTGAAAAGTGACATTTGGGCCTCCCTGCTAAAGCTGCAGCCCCGCTTGACCCGACTTGAGAACAAGCGAAAGAAAATGGATGGATAGATTTTTCTAACCATGTCATGTAATCTTTGGTTGTCTTTCTCTGTCAGCGTCCATCCATTATTTTAGGTGACAGAGACACAAAGACATCAGAGAGAGGTAAAGAGAGAGAAGCTGAGAAACTCAATATAGGAGAGAGAGAGGCGGTGAATGTCAAGAGTTCACCTGGATCGCCTGAAGGAGTGGTAGAGGATGACACTGCAATGTTTCCTGCCTGTTTGAAAAAATGTTTGTCAGGGCAGTCAGACAAACACCATGTAAAATTACAGCAATGTTGACAGGAAATTGACTTGTTTCCAGGAAGGATTACTTACTTGTTGACTATGTATTTCTGTATCATATGCTTTGCTCTGTGCATTATTCTGTGTATGTTCTAGTGTACATGGCAACCACAGCAAGTCATGCAATTTAAAGATAAAACAAAAGGTGAAAGCTTTATGCATGTACCTGTTTTTGAGATGAACGACAGACTCACAGCAAGTCAGATCCTTGTTTTTTTTTTTTTTATGTTCTGCTCAGGAAGCCTGTACACAACAGTCAGCTTTGTTCTGCGACATGGTTTGACACAGAGTCAAACGCCTCCATTCCTCCCAAGAGGACAAGGTAGTACAGAAGAGGAGGGAAGGAGGACTAGAACATGGCACAGAAGAAAAAAAAGCAGTGTCAGCTGTGCTTTTATGACATAAMGTCTGGAAAGTGGGTGCAGCAGGGCGGTCCAAGGCAAACATGTTGTCCTGAGTCTTTAGTTCATGACCTTCTGAGGATAAACACACTCCCTGCTGAAATGTCCCTGAGTAGCACGCTGATCCCAACCTGTTCTCTGGATCTGCAACTTATTTTTGTAAAAGGAAACAAAACAAGTGTGACTCCAAGACTGGCCCATCGGTATCTAATTATTTTTTCTAATAACTACAAAAGAAAAGTGTTTCCAATTTGTCCCTCGAGAAGAAACATATGGGAACACTACCTTCTGCACGTTGTCAGACCTCAGTGAGGATCCACCTCAGGGTCAGCGTCCTGTCTGATCTGGTGGGCTGCATTTTGAGCTTTTCTGTCGTTAATATGGTGCTGCACAACTAAAGAGGTTCAGTAGAGATTGTTTGTCACAGTTAGTTTATGAGAACAAATTAAATATTATTTGATTGGGTTTGACATTCAGATAATCAATGATGGCAAATCTTCCATTTGTTTTTGTTTTTTTTCAGGGATTTCCATAATCTGTCAGAGTGTCTCCAGTAAAGGTGGGTAATCATACAACTGCCTGTGTGTATTTGTTTCTTTTACTACAATATTGCATGGAACTGGACAAATTTTACTGAAACTCTCAAAAAGCAGATGTACATCTACAGTACAAACGAGTCAAGAAAATTCAAGATGGCCGCCACAGTCAACTTAGCAAACAGGCTGCAACTCAAAATATCTTCAGAGCTCCACAAAATCATCTGACAGTCTAAGAAGAAATTCAGGATGAGTGATCTAATTAATTTTCCATTGCTCCCAGCTACCTTAGTGAAAGAAGATGACACACTGGCGGAATGATAAACAAGGTGACATAAGTGATATGGGACAAATCCCTAAAGGAGATATAATAGCATCCACATGGAACAGAAAAAAAATAGGCAGAGGTGAAACATGAGAGTGGAAAAACCAACATTCGGACAGTGCTGGTTGCTGGAGAAGCAGTAGGAGGTGATAGTATGGAAAGTGTGCTGCCTGCTGCTGTCTGTGAGCAAAGATTAAGTCATAGAGACTGCAGGACTCACAGGAGAGCTCTAACCCATATGGACCACAGCTGCCGCTTCTACGGGACAAGTTCCTGTGTTTTTGTGCAGACGCAAGAGTGCATGCATCAGTGTTTGTGGGAGATAAAGCCACCATGTGAAAAACCTTGAAGCATTCTTGAGAAAAGTTTATCCCAACAAAACKTCCAAAAATAAATCCTCTAAAGTGCAAATAAAAAAGGGGACATAGATCCCATTCTGCTTAGTTGAAAAATATC